CATGTATATTGTATCCTAGCGGCCATCCATTCCTTTTACATGTATAATGTTTCCTAGCGACCATCCGTGTCTTTGACATGCATATTGTTACCTAGCGACCATCCGTGTCTTTTACATGTATATTGTTACCTAGCGACCATCCGTGTCTTTTTCATGTATATTGTATCCTAGCGACCATCCGTGCCTTTTACATGTATATTGTTACCTAGCGACCATCCGTGTCGTTTACATGTATATTGTTACCTAGCGACCATCCGTGTCTTTTACATGTACATTGTAACGTAGCTCCCATCATTGCGGTTTTATATTATAACTTAACGATTACCCGAACGGTGATATTGTGTTAGGCATGCGTTTTACTCTTCTCATAAAAAAACCTCCGAAAGAGATGTAGAGTTGATTTAATAGACTTTATTTTGAAGTGTTTTCAAGAACTTGACAGGTATTTAACATTTCCTTTAGATCGCTTTACGCTTCCCTCTGGTAAGTTTTTATTTCACTCGCTTTATTTAACTGAATGCAGACTGACTGTCAATTAAGTATTTAATTGGTTACAGATGGCGTTAAAACAGAATGTAAACTAGGTTTTTAACATCAGGTGGAAACTGGCTGCCTCTTTTGAACACCAAAACTCGTTTTCTTTAATTTTTGTGATTAGTTTTAAACTATGAGCTTAATGTGTTCAGAAAATCAAACATAAAATATGACATAGATCCCGGTAAGCGATGAGACCCCAGTCTATACCATCTTGATATGATCTGTATTGTAGAGGTTTGGATACATCTCCGTATCATTAGAAAAAAGTAGGTAGTTCTTGTATTTCACGTTTGAAATGCTTTCCAAGGTCAAAAAAGACACATACATTTCTTACAAATGCATATTCGGTGTAAGTTGGTCTAAATTTCATACAAGTAACACTGTAACAAACTTAATTCTGACGGTAATAAAAAGTGACAATAAAAAGCTATTAGAAGTGTAAAAACTGCTTAGGGACAAACCACGTCCTTAAAAGTCATTAGATGTTTAAATGGCATTGATCAAAATAAAACCAAACTAAAACGAATCAAAGACAAAGTTGAGTATATGAAGCGATAGAAATATTTTCATTTCATTGTTGGAATAAAACAGGAGAAGTTGTCTTAAGGGAAAGTTAAACTAGAAACAGTCTCCACTGATCTTTACTTTGTTGTATATGTCTTTGTCTCTCTGTATCAAAGGTGGGTATTGTATTCCGTGTTTTATTACATTAGGTACAGCAGCTATATGTTACGTAATACAATACCTATCTTTGATACAGAGCGACAAAGGCTGTTAGATATAGACTTATTAATATACACCCAACAAATAATAGTTCAAGTTACAAGCATTTGTTTCTATCAGGAAATATACCTTGAGATAGGTACTTGATATGAATCAACTAAATCAACTACTGTGATCTAATATTTGTTAATGACTCTTTTTTTAAACAAACTATAACATACATGTATATCATGCATTATTTTTCGGTTAAAAAGGTGTTTTTAGAAAAATGTGATGTTTGGTAATGGTATTACACTACATGGGCCTCCATTGTTTTACAAACGTAGTTTCAATATGGCTGATTTTTTATGGTGAAATTAACTTCTGACTTGACTTTGAAATTGTGATTATCAGTCTTTTGGAGCAGTTTCGTTAACTTTAAACAATCCCACTACCTAAAATGAATTCTAAGGAAGATTTTGACTGATATTTCCTTGCATGTGATAGAGAATCCGAAATCTCATCGCCGCATTATGCCACTTTATGTGTATTTTTAGTTAGCAGTAATATTTATTCCACACAGCCATGTTTGGGCACCACCACTAATGAGTCTCTTTATCCTTCCCCATGCGATTATCAGAGTCGCTCACACATATCGAAAAAGACGTTCGTCGATAGAAAATAGCATAACAATCGAAAGGTATGAGAGGCGGATTCAAAGTCGTGGCCTAATGAATATTCATAAGAGGGTTATCATCTGTGTTGGAGAACATCGGTTGTTGACATGGTATCGTCAGCACTGGTTTGAGACTTACTGCATATCACAATAGGTAAAAAGATAGGCTTTTTGAAACGGAGTATTGAATGAGAGGCGTTGAAGCCTATCAGTACTTTAATCACTAATAACGACACACCAGTTCCAGATCTACCCTGGGCAGGGGACATTACATTCTAATTGTTATTTCATCAAAACTCTTGTGTACAAACAGCTTAACAGAATGTTTATCAGAAACATTGTAGTGGTGTTTATTGTGGACAGTATGCTAACAGAATTCGCCGAAGGTAAGTGTATAGTATACAATCAACGATACAAAATAGAGTTTATATTTAAGCATTTAGGAATTAGAATAACTACTTATTTGTATGCTTTGCTTTCAACTATAAAATTAATTTTATAAAAGTTTGGATTAAAAGTTTTACTTTGTATCATAGCGTGTTCCTTTGTTTTCGTCAAACGTGGTATCAAAGCTCAAAGCATTCAGAATACACGCAAAGAGAACACGAAATCCATCATGTCTACCATAGGAAGATCTGACGATAGCTTCAGGTTTGGTGATTGCTGACACCAATAACGTTGATTTCATGTCGCCATATCATGCTATAATGTTCAAAATTTAAAACATGCATTCAATGTGATTCCACAGGATCACCCCTGATACACATATAAAAACATAATTGTTAAGGTAATTCTCCTTTTCTGTATTTTCTTTTCATTTCACGTCTTTTTCTGAACAAAGCTTAAATTACCGCACGCCTCCAGTTCAACACTCAATATGTTTTAAATGAATAAGGCTATATTGATCACATGGTCAGGGCTTTTATATGATGTAATAAATATAATAACGGGAATTCAGAGAGCACTTAAAGAGGTATGATTGGTAAACTCTGCTCATCCTATTAGTCAACGGTATATTTGATGTGAAATAAACAATTTGGAACTTCTATTTTGCTAATTTATTATTGTTTTAGCGACTCTGTATCAAATTGGGGAAAAACACAGAACTAAAAACAGACTCACGTATTGTCTCGAAAGCAAACGAATATGATGAGAATTAGCGGCCAGAACGTGGCTATGTCTACAGAGCAGATGTCAGTACATCGACAGAACGAAGGCCAACATGTGAGCTGTACATGATAACCTCAGCATACTCCTTAAAATGTCTCCAAGTTACTTTTAATATTAGCTTTACTGCAATCTAGTAAACTTTTATGTAAATTGATAAACACAAAGATTAACTTGTGAGGCCCCCACCACCACCATTTTTCTTTAAAGATATCACGATTTTGTTTAGAAACTGTTGGATTTTAATGAAATTCATAAACCATTACGAAAGCGATTTTAGATTTTCACCGACTTTCAATCGTTTGAATGAAGTACTTTGTGACTCTTAAACAAATTTTGTCATTCAACTTTAATACCAAATTAACTTAGAAACCTGTCTTATGTTCCCAGTGGTCCTCATTGGTATGAAAGAAATTCGCTTACGTTGTTATCAAAAAGATAATTTAAGGTGAAAAACGTTCTATGTTTCATACATCTCCGTATCCATAGACTAAAGTAGGTAGTTCTTGTATTTCACGTTTGAAATGCTTTCCAAAGGTCAAAACAGACACATGCATTTCTTACAAATGCATATTCGGTGTAAGTTGGTCTAAAACTTTATACAAGTAACACTGTAACGAACCTAATTCTGACGGTAATAAAAAGTGACAATAATATATTAGAAACAAAATGTAAAAACTGCTAAGTGACAAAACACGTCCTTAAAAGTCATTAGATGTTTAAATGACATTAATCAAAATAAAACCAAACTAAAACCGTCCGAAGACAAAATTGAGTATATGAAGCGATAGAAATATTTTCGTTTCATTGTTGGAATAAAACAGGAGAAGTTGTCTTAAGGGAAAGTTAAACAAGAAACAGTCTCCACTGATCTTTACTTTGTTTTTCAGGCCTTTGTCTCTCTGTATCAAAGGTGGGTATTTTATTACGTGTTTTATTACATTACGTATAGCAGCTATATGTTACGTAATACAATACCTATATTTGATACAGAGCGACAAAGGCTGTTAGATATAGACGTACTGATATACACCCAACAAATAATAGTTCAAGTTACAAGCATTTGTTTTTGTGCATGTCAGGAAATATACCTTGAGATAGGTACTTGATATGAATCAACTAAATCAACTACTGTGATCTAATTTTTGTTAATGACTTTTTTTTTTAACAAACCATAACATACATATCATGCATTCATTTTCGGTTAAAAAGGTGGTTTTAGAAAAAAATAATGTTTGGTAATGGTATTACACTATATGGGCCTCCATAGTTTTACAAAAGTAGTTCCAATATGGCTGATTTTTTATGGTGAAATTAACTTCTGACTTGACTTTGAAATTGTGATTATCAGTCTTTTGGAGCAGTTTCGTTAACTTTAAACAATCCCACTACCTAAAATGAGTTCTAAGGAAGATTTTGACTGATATTTCCTTGCATGTGATAGAGAATCCGAAATCTCATCGCCGCATCATGCCACTTTATGTGTATTTTTAGTTAGCAGTAATATTTATTCCACACAGTCATGTTTGGGCACCACCACTAATGAGTCTCTTTATCCTTCCCCATGCGATTATCAGAGTCGCTCACACATATCGAAAAAGACGTTCGTCGATAGAAAATAGCATAACAATCGAAAGGTATGAGAGGCGGATTCAAAGTCGTGGCCTAATGAATATTCATAAGAGGGTTATCCTCTGTGTATGAGAACATCGGTTGATGACCACTGGTTTGAGACTTACTGCATATCACAGTAGGTAAAAAGATAGGCTTTTTGAAACGGAGTATTGAATGAGAGGCGTTGAAGCCTATCAGTACTTTAATCACTAATAACGACACACCAGTTCCAGATCTACCCTGGGCAGGGAACATCACATTCTAATTGTTATTTCATCAAAACTCTTGTGTACAAACAGCTTAACAGAATGTTTATCAGAAACATTGTAGTGGTGTTTATTGTGGACAGTATGCTAACAGAATTCGCCGAAGGTAAGTGTATAGTATACAATCAACGATACAAAATAGAGTTTTTATTTAAGCATTTAGGAATTAGAATAACTACTTATTTGTATGCTTTGCTTTCAACTATAAAATTAATGTTATAAAAGTTAGGATTCGAAGTTTTACTTTGTATCATAGCGTGTTTCTTCGTTTTCCTAAAACGTGGTATCAAAGCTCAAAGCATTCAGAATACACGCAAAGAGAACACGAAATCCATCATGTCTACCATAGGAAGGTCTGCCGATAGCTTCAGGTTTGGTGATTGCTGACACCAGTAACGTTGATTTCATGTCGCCATATCATGCTATAATGTTCAAAATTTAAAACAAGCATTCAATGTGATTCCACAGGATCGTCCCTTATACACATATAAAAACGTAATGGTTAAGATAATTCTCCTTTTCTGTATTTTCTTTTCATTTCACGTCTTTTTCTGAACAAAGCTTAAATTACCGCACGCCTCCAGTTCAACACTCAATATGTTTTAAATGAATAAGGCTATATTGATCACATGGTCAGGGCTTTTATATGATGTAATAAATATAATAACGGGAATTCAGAGAGCACTTAAAGAGGTATGATTGGTAAACTCTGCTCATCCTATTAGTCAACGGTTTATTTAATATGAAATAAACAATTTGGAACTTCTATTTTACTAATTTATTATTGTTTTAGCGACTCTGTATCAAATTGGGGAAAAACACAGAACTAAAAACAGATTCACGTATTGTCTCGAGAGCAAAAGAATATGATGAGAATTAGCGGCCAGAACGTGGCTATGTCTACAGAGCAGAGGGCAGTACATCGACAGAACGACAGCCAACATGTGAGATGTACATGATAACCTCAGCATACTCATTAAAATGATACTTTTGATATTAATTTTACTGCAATTTTGTAAACTTTTATGTAAATTGATAAACACAAAGATTAACTTGTGAGCCCCCCACCACCACCATTTTTCTTTAAAGATATCACGACTTTGTTTAGAAACTATTGGATTTTAATGAAATTCATGAAATTCATAAACCATAACGAAAGCGGTTTTTAGATGTTCACCGACTTTCAATCGTTTGAATGAAGTACTTTGTGACTCTTAAACAAATTTTGTCATTCAACTTTAATACCAAATTAACTTAGAAACCTGTCTTATGTTCCCAGTGGTCCTCATTGGTATGAAAGAAATTCGCCTACGTTGTTATCAAAAAGATAATTTAAGGTGAAAAACGTTCTACATTTCATACATCTCCGTATCCATAGACAATAGTAGGTAGTTCATGTATTTCACGTTTGAAATGCTTTCCAAGGGTCAAAACAGACACATACATTTCTTACAAATGCATATTCGGTGTAAGTTGGTCTATAATTTCATACAAGTAACACTGTAACGAACTTAATTCTGACGGTTATAAAAAGTGACAATACAAATCTATTAGAAACACAGTGTAAAAACTGCTTAGTGACAAAACACGTCCTTAAAAGTCATTAGATGTTAAAATGACATTGATCAAAATAAAACCAAACTAAAACGAATCAAAGACAAAATTGAGTATATGAAGCGATAGAAATATTTTCATATCATTGTTGGAATAAAACAGGAGAAGTTGTCTTAAGGAAAAGTTAAACTAGAAACAGTCTCGAACTGATCTTTACTTTGTTGTATATGTCTTTGTCTCTCTGTATCAAAGGTGGGTATTGTATTCCGTGTTTTATTACATTACGTACAGCAGCTATATGTTACGTAATACGATACCTATCTTTGATACAGAGCGACAAAGGCTGTTAGATATAGACTTATTAATATACACCCAACAAATAATAGTTCAAGTTACAAGCATTTGTTTTTGTGTATGTCAGGACATATACCTTGAGATAGGTACTTGATATGAATATGTCCATATATTGTTTATTTGTAATCCTGTAAATGAGTCCTTTGGATCACGAATAAGTGTTACCGACTTTTCAATGTTTTAAAATATCTTCAGTTATAATTTTGTTAAAAACCGCTTGTAAATGTGAAATAAATCTTTGTTATTTTAAGAAGTTGACAAACACTCTGTTCACTTACAAAAGGTTGACGTGTTTACTTGTTTTCAATACATATAGTAGTGGTAGACTAATTGTACGATGTCCACAACGGTGAGTTACCTGACTTTTGTCGGCTTGTTGATAAATAACTGCACATGTCAGGGTTTCGTTTGTGAACATAACTTTAGACGACTTCTTTAAGAAGTCATATACTTTGTGTTGACCTGTTAAATTGAATATCAACAAGCCGACAAAAGTCAGGTAAAGAGTTCTACCTATAAATCAACACGCATGTGTTACAATGTAATCATATAGACTTAAACGTACCATGTCGCTTAATTTGCCTTTTTTTCTGGTCAACATGATAAATCTGGTATTTATTATTTTCATACATATCAAAGATATAAGCTTTCCCTTTTTACTACACTCACAAAGTAAAGCGTGTCAAACATAACAACTAAAAGGGAATTTAATATTATTCTATTACGTGCCGTATCGAATTCGATATTTCCATGTTAAGCATGCTCAGACATGAACGAAGTAATGGCGATGTTCATCCGAAAACGTGGTCGAAAAGCGGGCAAGTAAACATTTCTTCCTATCAAGTCGAAGATATAGTCGCTATTCGTTGGATTCAGCTCTCTTTACATCTCGTTTCTCGAAATGTAAGGCAGAGGAATTTTGAATCATTATATATCAATAAACTTATACCATTTATGAACTTTTATAACTTTAATTTTCATCACAGTTTTTTCCCAATAGATTGCGGCACGTTTACTTCAGTAAAAGTCGACATCATTAACTCAGGCTTTCGTGCGGAACATCGTTTTTGTCAACATGTTGCGTTATATCAAGTAAACAACGCCACATATATATCAACACGTTTATATTATGTATAAATTGACTTGATAGTATTTAAAAAAAATTCGTAGAGTCGATTTATTTCAGTTGATATGTTTAACTTAATATCAACAAGCCGACAAAAAACACCTCAGGTAAATTAAGTAAACAATGCTCCTTATAGGTTGACTCGTGTAACTTATACAGACTTAATAACAAACCGATATACACCGCCACACACAGGTGCATATAGGTCATTTCTCACGGTAACAATTATATCGTCTAAACTGTAGGATTTAAAAATCTTCCAAACTGTAATTTTCACTGATAATACTACCTATTAAAAACACACAATGAAAGATATATCAAGATTGAAAACATGAGTCCTTTCTGATTATATCATTTATGAACTTTTATAACTTTAATTTTCATCACAGTTTTTTCCCAATAGATTGCGGCACGCTTACTTCAGTAAAAGTCGACACCATTAACTCAAGCTTTCGTGCGGAACAGGAACATCGTTTTTGTCAACATGTTGCGTTATATCTGATGATGTCAACAAGTATCAAGTAAACAACGCCACATCTATATCAACACGTTTATATTATGTATAAATTGACTTGATAATATTAAAAAAAAAAACGATTTAATTGCGCAGTATTAAAATGAAATGTGCATAGTTTTTGTAAATTTCGTAGAGTCGATTTATTTCAGTTGATATGTTTAACTTAATATCAACAAGCCGACAAAAGAACCCTCAGGTAAATTAAGTAAACAATGCTCCCTATAGGTTGACTCGTGTAACTGATACAGACTTAATAACAAACCGATATACACCACCACACACGGGTGCATATAGGTCATTTCTCACGTTAACAATTATACCGTCTAAACTGTAGGATTTAAAAATCTTCCAAACTGTAATATTCACTGATAATACTACCTATTAAAAACACACAATGAAAGATATATCTAGGTCACCTTTTTTTTTTACAAAAACGACAAAATGAAAGGAAGGCAAACATTTGACTCTAATCAAAATTGAACTCAATTCTACTTGTATTCAGATGTATGTATTAGATTTTTTTTTCCGCTTTTTTATTGCTTTTACCTCTGACAAATTATATTATATATAATAAAATGGCTGATAACGATTTTTAACAAAAAAGGATTTTGATAAGAGATAGTGTCGAGTAGAATTCTTCCGGGTTGAATTTAATAGTACTGATCAAAAGGGTATGGTCATATGTATCTGATATAGGGTGTTTAGAACGCGCACACAATCTAAACAAAGGTTTTCCCGTTATTAATCTTTTTAACCAGTCACTTCATGGGAATATTTTCCCCGACTGTTAAAAAGCAAACAAATAAACAAACAAACATCGTTCCCGTCTCTTGATCTGGTCTGCGAGATACTGGTTATAACTGAAAACAGGTTTCACCGCTGCATATTTGCATTATTTAATAATGGCGGACCCAGGGATGTTGCCCTAGTTGCCCGGGTAACACCCTTTTTTCCGTATCCAGAAATAATCTGGACCAAGGTTTTTGAAGATTTTCCTCCATTTCATTTGGGGTTTCCTTCTGATTTCTATGGCTTGCCCTTGCCAGCAGTTTGAATATCTATATATGCCTATTATAGAGTCCATTATAGGTCACTACTTAAACGTCAAAAATGTCAAATACAATGAAGCACCCTCCTTAGCATCACTTCGTCAGGTGAGTAAAAACCAATGTGAGCATAAACGATGGGCGTGTATATCCATTCATTAGAATTGTTTTTAATATACATATACATAATTTATCATTTGTATTGGTGTTGCCCTTGTTCGATAAAAGACAAACAGATAAATCATAATTCACATTTATGACAAAATAAATTTACATTAAATTGCTAAAATTCTCGCCTAAACTAAATGTACATGTCAAGTTCAAGTTCTTTATTACCTTAAGTCTTTCGACTCATCGGTTACAAAGTAACAAAGTGCATTATTTACAATGCAGCAGTATCAGCTAAATCTACAGAAAAGCCCCCTTAAACTTTAAAAGGTGACCATTGTAAGGGCCTGACACAAACATGCACATTTTTACCAAAAATCCACATCTTTACCAATTTCTTT